TGAGGACTCAAAAATGCCTCCTTAGGCACCAGCTGTCAAAGGCGGGAGAGTTTTTACCAAAATACATAGGACAGATCTGCCCTTCCTTTACTCCGTGACTTCTAGGATGGGCCAGCGCTCCGGAGAGAAGGAGGGGCCTTCGCAGAAGGCTCTCCCTGTGAGCGCCAGCCCAGCCTCAGACTCTGAGACGGCGCCGAGTCACTGGAGCAAGCTTGGCGTAGTCACGGGGAGTAAGCGCCTGGCTCTGCATCTGCCTGTTTCCTGATTCCTGAAAGCTAGTTTTGTTTTTTTTTGTTTGTTTGTTTTTGTTTTTTTTTTATAATTAAATTGACCCCACTTCCCATTTTCTCAAAGCAGAATATCAGCCTCTAGGGGACTGGAGAGGGAAACTCAGAGATTCCCAGGTGTCCTAAGGCCTCTCTGCTCACCCTGTCCAACCTCCTGTCCTCGTGTGACCTTTTCCTTCAGGGCTTCCCTCCTTATCACTGTCAGCCATAAAAGGCCTTACCTTGATAGGCGCTTGCACAATGACTGGAAGATAGCAGCCTCCCTAATCTCCAGCTGCAAGGCAGCTGGTCCCTGTGATAATTCACGCTGTTTTCTTGTGGTCGTACTTGTGTGTACTTGGTCCTGCGTGGCAGGAGACTCCAGACTGTGCCTAGGAAGTCCCTCTAGATGGGATGACCGCAGTGACCTGGGCATTTTGGTTCCTTGCCGATCCATCTCTGGCTCCCAGTGGCTCAGAGGAAAGTCTCTGAGGATCCAACCTCAGGGAGGTTGCCAGAGAGCCAGCCTTCCCGGGCCAGGTGGGAGTATTTCATTTGCTCACTCAAGAGAGCAACGTGATCTCCAGGGTATGGCAAGAACAATGCTGCTGTGCCTACAGATAACAGTTCTCTACTGTGCACTGAAAAAGATGTCCACACAGTCGCTCTCATGAAATAGAAGTAAAAATAGGGAAGAAGAAGAACCCTCCCGCTTCCCTAACCTCTTATAGGCGACAAGGTGTTTTCGGGTCTGTCATCTGCCTTGAGCCTCCCAGAAATCCTATCAGACAGGCAGGCAGCATTCGTCTCAACTGTATGGAAGTAGAAGCGAAGGCTTGGACCGCTTGTGGGACGTGGCCAGAGTCACACAGCTAGCAGCTGGCAAGGGACGGCCGCTGCCAAGATCGTCCCCGTTCATTAATCAGGGGTTTCTCAAGACAAGAAGGAAACTTAGAGCAGTGTAAGCAGGAGGTAAACTGCTGGCTTCTGTACCCACACAAGCAGAGCCGATCCGGTGGGTGACTTCCCGAATCCATCCTCCCTTCTCTAACGGTGCACCACCGTTCTCCCCTCTGCCTCCCTGCTGTGGAGCCCAGGAGTGCTTGGAGAAGCCGACCTTACCCCTGACTCGAGGGGCAGTGCTGAGGCCCAGGCTTACCCAGGCACATCCCGGCCACAGATATTGGCTCAAGGGTGGGGCTGTGACCTTCTCTGAGCTGATGAGAAGCAAGAAGAGGTTTGCTGAAGGTTTCTGAGAAAGAACTGCCTGACGTTTCTGGAGAGTGTCTGGAAGTAATCAGTTGTCTCCCACCACATGCAAGGTCGAGGGTAAACACAACAGGCTTTTTTTTTTCTTTTTCCTTTTTACCACTCTGTAGAGAGACAGCATCAGGAGGAAGCTGGCACTGGATGACAAACAGGGTCTCTGACAGCACTGTCAAGCCGGGAGAGCCACCTCTACCTGACTTCACAGTGTCACAAGCCATGAGCTCCCCTAGTACACCTCAAGACCAGTAACAGAAAACCCACCTCAGACATTAATGGGCCTCCTGTTGCTGGCCTGCACGCCATTGAGTATACAGTTAGCAGTAACAAAAATATGCTTTAATCAAATAATAACTCCATGGGGCAACTCACAGAATAGAAGGGAGAGCGGCAGAAGCCAGGGCCTCGGGGATGAAGTGTGGGCCTCCCTGGCATCAGGACTCCCTCTCCAGCTCCATCGCACGCTCTCCTTCTCTTCTACTACACACTTGCCTTTCCAGCGATGGGGCAGGGACGAGACCACCTGCCACCTCAGCTTGTCTGCCAGGAAAGAGAAGCCTTTCAGAACAGCTCAGCCGGGGAGAGGCTAATAGACACTATTAGCACTACGTAGAGTTGTGTAACCCCCCAGGGTACCCACAGCCTGGTGGGGTGAAGGTACCACTTCTAAGGCTGATCCGGTGAGGGGAGGTAGCAGCGACTGGAACCCAACGTTAAGCAGGGCTGTGGGGAGAGGGCCCTTTGACATGAGTGATGTCAGCCGATGAATCAGATCACCTTCCACCCTCCATCTCCTCTTCCTGCCATTCACGGGCCAGTGTTTCCCAGAGCCCAACCCCGCTGGAGGCCAGGGTGGAAGGAAGCCCGAGGTCCAGAGTGGGCTGTAGCAGGGTGGAGAGGAGAGGAGATGGGGAAAGTGGGGGACACCCAGCACGCCAAGCCAGCAACCACTGCAGAACAAGAGCAGCTTTTTCCCAGCGTCTGCGCATCCAGACCAGAAAAGGAACCAGCCCTGCTTGTGACAGTGACTCACTTCTTCAGTCAACCGTATAAACGCACAAGTGATTCCTTTCCCTCAACAAACACTCTATAGAGTTGATCCTCAAAGAGTTTTCCAGGGAGGGGTTCATTATAGAACACAATTATCACTATGAATGGGCGAGCTATTGAAAGGTCTTGTCTGGTTTTCCACTGATCTCTTAACTTACAAAGATAAATACAAGCCTAGGGCTATCATAAAGTATCTCAGACCAATGCAGTGGCATCATAATGGGCAACTACATTTTTATTATTGTTGTAATTATCATTAAATTATAGATTATTTTATTACTGTTAAAACATCATTATCAAATCTTAATGGAGAATGGGACTGGCAAGGGGAGAGGGAGGAGGAGATGGGGTGAGAGTGTGGGTGTGGTGGGAGGAATAACTATATTCCTAAAGTTTACTTATAAAATTTGTATTCCTTAAAAATAAATATTAAATTTTTTTTAAAAAAAACATCATTATCACTACAACTATTCCTAAGTCTGACCTAATGGTCAGCCACAGGACTTTTGCAATGAGAACAATCTATGCTCAAATCCCAACTTTTCCATTTATTGGATCTATGACACTGAGTGAGTCACGTATCTTCTCTAAACTTCAACTACATAATAAGGGTAATAATTAGGATCTTAAGAAGTCAAGAGGGCTAAATAAGATATGCATATAAAATAATTAGCACAGTCAAAAATGGTATCTAGCATTGAAGGAGAAGAATGGGAGGTGTATGTATAACAGAAACACACTTCCCTTTGAGTCAAGATAATTGGGTTCAAGTCTTAGCTCAGTCTTCAAAAATTCTTGAGATCAGATTTGCATGCCCCCATTTTTACTTCTGTTCCTCTGAATGCTGAAATAATTTAGAAAAGGATATGGAAGGCAGATGGGAGTTAGACCACAGTAGTGACTTCTGGCTAGCAGGGCTAGAGCTCGCGAGTTGGACCTTCCCCAAAGACCAGCTTTAGACTCGCACATGGGGGGAGCATTACTTGTACAAAGTACACTTACTCAACCAGACCTGTCTTTGTTGTTTTTTTTTTTTTAAAGATTTATTTTTATATTTATTTGAAAGGCATAGTTACAGAGATAAATAGAGAGAGAGATCTCCCATCCACTGGTTCACTCCCCAGATGGCTACAGCGGCCAGAGCTGGGTCAAGTGGAAGCCAGAAGCCAGAATCCAGGAGCTTCTCCTAGGTCTTCCAAGCAGGTGCAGGGCCCAAGCACTTGGGCCATCTTCTGCTGCTTTCCAGCAGGGAGCTGGATCAGAAGCAGAGCACCTGGGACACAAACTGGCATCCATATGGGATGCTGGTGCTTTAGGCTAAGGCTTAACCTTCTATGCCACAGTGCAGGACCCCAGATGTGTCTTCTCACCTCCCCTTCATTCAAGGTCCCGAGGTGGCGCTGACTCCTAGAGGTGAGAAAGCATACGTTAAGTCAAATCTGAATTTAGAGAACAGTCTCTGGCACAACTGTCACTTTAGGAATATCTCACTGTTTCTCTGGGTCTCAGTTTCCTATTTTGTTCAACAGGAATGAAAACGCTTATCACAGGATGTGCTGGGAGGATCAAATGAAGATTAAAATTAAATGAAGATTAAATCATCATTGATTTAAAGGAATGCATTTGTGAGAATCCTTCCATGAAACAAATGTATTGACCATTATGCATACTCTAATCTTTTTATAAAATAATACTTAAAGATGAGACTTCCAATTCAAGTTTATAGTATAGGCCTCAGCCAATGGAGTAAGAAAAATCAACATAAGATACAAGAATTTGGAATGAAGACACAAAATATATTATTCCCAGATGGTATAGAAGTTTATATAGGAACTCTAGAAGATCCTACAGATAAACTGTTAGGGTCAATAGGAGAGTTTAGCAAGGCTGGTGGACAGAACGTTACATAAAAATCAGGGGGCAGGCATTTGTGCAATGGTTAAGACGCCCCATGTGATGCCTGCAGCCTGTGTCAGAGTGGTTCAAGGCCCCTCTCCTCTGCTTCTGATCCAGCTTCCTGCTGTGCACACTCTGGGAGGCAGCTGCCATACTCAGGTCCCTTTCCACCCATGTGAGAGACCTGGGTACAGTTCCAGGCTCCTGGCTTCAGCTGTTGCAGGCATGTGGGAAGAGAACCAGTGGATGGAAGATTTCTCTCTTTGCTTCTCTGCCTTTCAAATAAAATGAAAATAGATAAATAAATAATTTTAAAAGCCAATAGCTCGGCTGGCGCCACGGCTCACTAGGCTAATCCTCCGCCTTGCGGCGCCGACACACCGGGTTCTAGTCCCTGTCGGGGCACCGGATTCTGTCCCGGTTGCCCCTCTTCCAGGACAGCTCTCTGCTGTGGCCAGGGAGTGCAGAGGAGGATGGCCCAAGTGCTTGGGCCCTGCACCCCATGGGAGACCAGGCTAAGTACCTGGCTCCTGCCTTTGGATCACCTTCGTGCGCCGGCCATTGGAGGGTGAACCAACGGCAAAATGAAGACCTTTCTCTCTGTCTCTTTCACTGTCCACTCTGCCTGTCAAAAAAAAAAAAAAAATGTCAATAGCTCTTTTACATACATTAAGCAACCAATTTAAAAACATAATTTTAGAGTAAATCATTCACAACATCACAACTGACCTATATACTGGCCTTTCACTGAAAGAGCAATTCGCACAACTGGCTAAATGTAGCAAAAATTTTTCTTTGTAAAATTTACAGCAATTCATATTAGATACCACATCAGAGACTATTATATGTCATCATTATCCACTTTTTTCTTCTTTCTTCCATGGAGGAGACTGGCAAACTACACTCCATGGGCCAAATCAGGCCTGCCACCTGCTTTTGTAAATAAAATGTTGTTGGAACACAGCTGCCTCTGTTGACCAACATACTCTCTAAGGCTTTGGCACTAGCACAGCAGAGTGGAATCGTTCTGAGAGGAACCATACAGGTCTCAAAGCCTAAAATATTTGCTATCAGCTCCTTTATGAAATAAATTTGCTGACTCTGATTCTATGGTCAATGAATTCTTGACTTTTAGCCAGGTACAATTGCCACCAAAAATAAAAACCATGGTTTGCAGCTGTGTCCATGTGTCAGACAGAAATGCTGTACCCCAGTTTCCATGCATCTTCTTACCTTGAAAGTCAAAAGAGATAACTTGGAGGTAAATGAGTAAGCTTTATCAATTCAGTGATTGGTCATTTGGCAAACTGATCATGAGGCAAGTTGATTTTTAGAAAGCTGACCTTGGGTCCTAAAACAGGAACACATGTGGATAGAAGTAACAAATTTCAAATAGTGTCTCAAATTGAGAATGTATTTTTCATCACACAACAAAATAGGAGGTTTCTGATTTTCTGATTTAGTTCAGTGGCTTCAATAATGTCAGAGCCACTGTTTTTTTTTTTTTTTTTTTTTTTTTTTTTTTGACAGGCAGAGCTAGACAGTGAGAGAGAGAGACAGAGAGAAAGGTCTTCCTTTTTTCTGTTGGTTCACCCGCCAAGTGGCCGCTATGGCTGGAGCATTGCAGCCGGAGCGCTGCGCCAATCCGAAGCCAGGAGCCAGGTACTTCCCCCTGGTCTCCCACGTGGGTACAAGGGCCCAAGGACCTGGGCCATCCTCTACTGCACTCCCAGGCCACAGCAGAGAGATGGACTGGAAGAGGAGCAACCAGGACAGAATCCGGCGCCCCAACGGGGACTAGAACCTGGGGTGCCGGCGCCGCAGGCGGAGGATTAGCCTAGTGAGCCACGGTGCTGGCCAGAGCCACTGTTTTATGCAGTTCTTTTGGCACTGCAATGTCACAGATTGGCTGTTGTAGCTCCAGGCATCACATCTGTGCTCCAGTTGGAAGAAGGAGGAAAAATTAAGAGGTAACACTGGCAGCATCCATCCCCTTTTACCAGGAAACAAATTATTTCTTCTCAAAAGGCTTCTCCTTAGGAAGGGGGGTGGGAGGGAAAGAGGGGAAGGCAGAGAGGAAGGGAATATTATTACATTCTTAGAATTGAACCTATATAGCACATTGAATCTGTGAAAAACTAAAATTTAAAAATAAACATTTTAAAGGGAAAAAATTAAAAAGAAAAAAAGAAATTCTTTTAAAAAAGAAAAAGGTGAATAGGCAACCAACAGAATGAGAAAAAATATTTGTATACTACATAATTCATAAAAGATTCATATCCAGGATATATAAAGAGCTCAAGAAGCTCAACAGCCACAAAACAAACAAGAAATGGTTTAAGAAATGGGCAATGGACTTGAACAGGCATTTTACAAAAGAAGACATTCAAACGACCAACAGACACATGAAAACATGCTCAGGATCACTAGCCATCATGAAAATGCAAATAAAAACCACAATGAGGTTTCACCTAACCCCAGCTAGAATGGCTCTCAAACAGAAATCAATAAACAATAATGTTGGTGAGGATGTGGGAAAAATGTACTCTAATCCACTGTTTGTGGGAATGTAAACTAGCAGAGCCATTGTGGAAGACAGTATGGAGATTCCTCAGAGATATGAAAATGAATCTACCATGTTGTCTCAGTCATTGCACTCCTGGAAATTTACTCAAAGGAAATGAAATCTGCATATGAACTATCCATACCCCCATATTTATAGCAGCTCAATTCACAATAGCCAAGATCTGGAATCAACTCAGATGTCCATCAACTGATGGCTGGATACAGAAAATGTGGTATATATAAATGATGGAATACCACTTAGCCATAGAAAGAATGAAACCCTGTTTTTTGCAACAAAATTGATGCAACTGGATGCCTTTATGCTTAGTGACAGAAGCCAGTCCCCAAAAGAATATACCCTATGCTTTCTCTGATATGTGGCAGCTAATATAGAATACCATACACCAAAAATGTACAATAATGAAACTGACATCTTGCGATTTGACTACTGTTTATAGTCCTTGTTTATACTTCTGTGGAACAGTGGTTTTTCTACTTTTTTTTTTTTTTTTTTTTTTGACAGGCAAAGTGGACAGTGAGAGAGACAGAGAGAAAGGTCTTCCTTTGCCATTGGTTCACCCTCCAATGGCCGCCACAGCTGGCGCGCTGCGGCCGGCATACCGTGCTGATCAGATGGCAGGAGCCAGGTACTTATCCTGGTCTCCTATGGGGTGCAGGGCCCAAGGACTTGGGCCATCCTCCTCTGCACTCCCTGGCCACAGCAGAGAGCTGTCCTGGAAGAGGGGCAACCGGGACAGAATCCAGTGCCCCAACCGGGACTAGAACCTGGTGTGCCGGCACCGCAAGGTGGAGGATTAGCCTAGTCAGCCGCGGCGCTGGCCGGTTTTTCTACTTTTAACTTGTTGAACATTACAGTTAGTGGTGCATTAAGCCTGTGATTATAAACTAAGTTGGAAGTCTGTTATTGCAAAAAATAAAGGAAATGAAAAGAAGGAGGGGGGATTGAGGGAGGGTGAAAAAGGGAAATATGATTATCTTCTTAGAATTGTACCTATGAAATGCACTATATCTCTTTATCTCTTTATATCAATACATTTTTTAAATTCACACACACAAAGACTTCTTAGATCTATTGCCCACAATGAGATCATAAGCCTTCCCTAGCAGAGAAGATGCTAGATAAGAGAGATGAAGATTTCATGGGTGGCTTAGACTATTTATTATTCATACTAGGAACTATTGCCCAGAACATTGAGTTCTGATATAAAAAAAAATCAATATTGTGTAGCAACTAACAGTCTCTGCTAATATACTTCTCTAGCTATCAATCAGCAAAACACACTCTTATTTGCCCATGTATACTTAAATGTGTGTGTGTGTGTGTGTGTTTAAGAGGAAGACAGAAAGAGAGAGAGAGAGCACGCTTCACTTCCATCTGCTGGTTCATCTCCCAAATGCCAGAAATGATTGAGGCTGGGCCAGGCCAAGCTGGGAAAGAGGAACACAGTCTGTGTCTCCCACGTGACTTGGGTGGGGTTCTCATTTACCCACATCCGGAGCCATGTGGCAGGGATCCCTATAAGAGGGAGAATACAGGAAGGTATGGTTTACTGGAGCCATTACTATAATAATCTTCCACAAAAACTACTTGAGCATCACTTTCTGCCTCCCACAGTGCATGTTAGCAAGGAGGCTGCAGTGGGGCAGGACACTCTGATATGAGATATATATAAATATATGGTGTATATGTATATATACACACACCAAACTAACTGGCGTAGTACAGTAGTTATTTCATTTGCTTGCAGTTCTGTGGTCAGCGATTTGAGTGCATTTCCCTGGGTGGTGAGTGTGGTGGTCTCACCTGTAGTCACTCATGAGGCTGCAGTCCTGGAAGGCTTGGCTGGGCCAGGTGGTCTGAGACGGCTTCACTCTGCTGACCAGCAGCTGGTGCTAGATATGTAGCAGGTGAGCCCGGAAGGCGGCTGTTCTGAGAGGCAAGTCCCAAAGCACAAGCACTTTTCAAGCCTCTCCTAGCATCACATTTGCTGATGTCCATTTGGCAAAGCAAGTCACAGGATCCACTCCCCAATGTCCAGAGTCAACGTCGGGAGGACCTAAGTGGATACGGGAAGGTATGAGTCATCGCAGTCATTACTGTAATAATCTATCACGAAAATATGAGAATGTCTTTGTGACTTCAAAAGGAGGAGTTATTAAACAAAACATAGGGCACAAATCATTAAGGAAATGTTGCTGAATCTGATTACATGAAAGTGAGAGCCTTGGTATGATAAAAGCACTTAGAAACTGAGGCTGGCGCTGTGGTACAGAGGCTTGAGCTGCTGGTTGTGTTGCTTGCATCCTGTATCGGAGTGCGGGTTCAAGGGCTGGTTGCTCTGTCTCCAATCCAGCTCCCTGCTAAGGCACCTGGGAAGGCAGTGGAAGTGCTTGGGAGCCCTGCCATCCACGGGGGAGAGCAGGATGGAACTCCTGGCCCTGTGCTTCAGCCTGGCCCAGCGCAGCAGATGGAAAATATCCTTCTCTCTCTGTCTCTCCCTCTCTCTGTCACTGTGTCTTTGAAATAAATAATGTAAATCTTTAAAAGGGCTTAGAATTGTGTCTATGCACTACACCGAATCTGTTCTCTTTGTATTACTATCACGTTAACATGAGAATTGTGTTGTAGTAATTATCATGCATTTTCTATGACCCTGAGAATCTAAAGTATTAATAAATTCCTTAAAAAAAAAAAAGCAAGATAGAAAGGGCACCTGCAAACTGCAAAAATAGGCATAAATTGGAGAAAAAGATATTTGCAACCAGCAAGGCTGTAGCTTTAGTATTCAGAATTCCCTCATACCAATAAGAAAAAGATACATGACTATTTAAAAATGGACAAGAGATAAAAAATAGCCAAGGACTATTTCCAAATTTCAATAAATATAATAATAAAAATAATAATAAATGAAAGGATGCTCAACTTCATTAAAAATCAGGGAAATAGAAATTAAATGGTGTATAATTGTGCACTTGTCTGAACCAGCAAAGAGTAAAAACATGAAGTATAGATGAGAATGTGGAGAAATGGAGACTGTGCTCTATTGCTGTTGGGGTATATTTTGCACAAACTACTTGAGAAGACAATTGATCAGTGCTAGCAAAGCTAGAAGATACGTCTATCCTATAACCTGGCAATCCCACATCTATGTAAATACCCAACTGAATGGCTCTCAAGAGCCTGAAAGAGTTGATTTTTGTCGTTGTTTGTCTGTTTTTAACATAGATATCCAGAGCCCACTTCAAACCAACCAAACTAGAATTTCTTGGGGAGGTGGATCAGGTATTTTTTTTTTCTCTTTTAATTCAAGAGACAGACACACACATACATGCACAGAGAATTCCCATCTGCTGGCTTACACCCCAAATGCCCACAAAAGCAAGGGTTGGACCATAGCAAAAGCCAGGAGTTGGCAACTCATTCCAGGTCTCTCTCATGGGTAGAGGGAATCCGATCATGTGAGCTATTACTACTGCCTTACGTGATCTGCATTAGCAGGAAGCTGGAATCCGAAGCCCTGGGTTTCAATCCCAAGCACTCCAAAAACAGAATGTGGGAATGTTAACCAGCATTTTAACTAGTAGGCCAAACACCCTCCTTGCATCAAGTATTTTTAAAGTCTCCAATATACTGCCAAGGTTAAGAACAATTGTCCTAAGGTAATTCTTGCATACATGCTCAAAGTGTACACCTGCTTTCCCAGGTGCATTGGCAGGAAGCTGGATTGGAAGTGAGCAGCAAGGAATTGAACCAGGATTCATATGGGATGCAGCCACTTCAGGCCATGGCTTTAACCCTCTGTACCACAGGGCCCCCCTGCTCCCCTGCAACCTAAATTTTTAAAGTGGCTGCAAAATATATAATTTGATATGCAATCTCATGATTTTTTCAAAAATTTCATTTCATCTGAAAAGCAGAGAGATATCTTCTGTTCAACCATTCACTCCCCCAAATGGTCACAACAGCCAGAGCTGGATAAGACTGAAGCCAGGAACCTGAAACTCAACCTAGAACTCAACCACATGGGAGGTAGGAACCCACTGAGAGCCAGCGCCGCTGCTCCCCAGGGTGCACATCAGAAAGCTGGCTCAGAAATGAAGCGGCTGGACCTGGAGCCACGCACTCCGTTATGAAGCATGGGCATCCCTACCGGTGTCTTAACTACTAGGCTAAACAGTCACCCATGAAATCATTTTAAATAAGCCATAATGCAGCCAAAAGAAACAACGTGCCACAATAAAGGCAGTTGAACATGTACATCCTGTTTTGTTTGACTATGTGAAAATAAGCTTTAATAGGTAAGGCCACAAACACAATGAAACTATATCTAATTAATAGTTAAATAAAAAATACTATAGGGCAAAGAATTGCTCTTTAGACTTTTTATCACCCTAAATTTATTAACTCAAACTCTTTTGAAGTAAAACCTATTCAACCTTTTGAGACAAAATATTTTCCTCCAAGGCTATTATTAAGCTGGAACATAACATCCTTGTCTTAGCATGTCACAAAAGCCACCTCTTTTGTGTATACTTGTGATTCAAATGCGTAGTAAATAGAGATTGCAGAACGCTCAGGAATAAAATATAAAAGCCGAAAACAAGCAATGTAACAAAAAGGCAGCCTTAGAACACTCCAGTTACATGGTGCTAAGAACTGTATAATCAATGCACTTTTCAAGGCTTACACATCAACAAACTCCCTTTTCACCAACATGAGGTCAAGGAAGCAGAGGAAATAACACAAAAGAACAGACTTAGAATAAATGAATGACATAATTCAAGTCAGTGATTCACTAGAAAATAGTTCCTGAGGGTTAAATGAGTCATCACCGATTTCAAGCAAATTTTCCAGTTCATAGTTTGGGGCTCAAATACCTTGCTCTATCTTTACTTGAAATCAGTACCATCACAAATGAAAAGGAAGAAATTTTTTTTTAAGGATTAAAATTTGGGGCATGCATTTGGTGCAGCAGTTAATACGTCACTTGAGAGGCCTGCATCTCATATTGGAGTGCCTGCTTGGGGTCCTGGCTCCACTTCCGATTCCAGCTTCCTGCTAAAGTGTACCCTGGAAAGGCAGCAAATGATGACTCCACCCACATAGGAGACATGGGTGGAGTTCCAGCTCCTGACCTCAGCCTGGCCCAGCCCCAGCTGTTGTCAGCATTTGGAGAGTAAATCAGTGATTAAAGACCTTTTTCCTTTTCAAGTAAAAATGAAAATGAAGTAATTCATCATCATTAATATGTAATCACTAAACTTTTTTGATGATTTATTTACTTGAAAGGCAGAGATAGAGAGAGAGAGAGAGAGAGAGAGAGAGAGAGATCCTCCATTGATCTTCCACCTGCTGGTTCACTCCCCAAATGGCTGTAATGACCAAGACTGGGCCAGATAGAAGCCAGAATTCAGGAGCTTCATCCAGGTTTCCCACATGGGTGCAGGGGAGCAAGCACTTGGGCCATCTTCGTTGCTTTTTCAGGCCTTAGCAGGGAGCTGGACTGGAAGTGGGGCAGCTGGGACTCAAATGGGTGCCCATATGGGATGCTGGGATCATAGGCAGTGGCTTTACCTGCTGTGTCACAACACCAGCCCCTAAACTTTCTAAAAGTAAGGAATACATAATGAGGGAAGGTTCTGCATCTGTCATGGACAGAAACAAGAATCAAATCTAAAACTGCCTGCAGCAGCTGGGTTCCAAAGGGTGACTTTGACTGGGGCAGAACTGGGCACAATGACCTATTCAGAGAGGCTCCCCACGTGAGGGCCAGTGTCCACCAGTGTGTACCAAGTAAGGCCAATTCCCACCTAGGCCTCAACAGCTCTCTTCCAAGGAGTCTGTGCCTGCCAGTTGTCAGTATCTCCCCTCAAGTAGGGGATAATGTATCCTAACACCCACCTTGTTCCATGAGTTGAGAATTCTACTACTTTCTCAGAGAGGATCTGTCAAAGCCAGCATGGCTGTCTTCTCTCCAAAACACCCCAAAATGCTCAGCACAGGGGCCCACATTGTGGTACTATAGGTAAAGCCTCCACTTGCTATCCTGGCATTTGGTATCAGAGCGCCAGTTCAAGCCCCAACTACTCCACTTCTGGTCCAGCTCCCAGTTAAGGCACATGGGAAGGCAGCAGAAGATGACCCAGGTATTTGGGTCCCTGCCACTTGGCTCCTGGCTTCAGCCTGGTCCAGCCCCAGCCATGTTGGCCATGTGGGAAATGATAGTGATGGAAGATCTCTCACTCTCACTCCCCGCCTCTCTCTAACTCTGCCTTTCGAATAAGTAAATCTTTAAAAAAGAAAGAAAAAGAAATGCTCAGTTTAGACACACACAGTATACTGTCTACAGACAGCCATACAGCCCTCATTGTTTCTGTGGGAGAATCGGCTCAGCCACCCCATGTTTCCACACCTGTCCCAAATCTTCCTGTGGCTCTCAGTCCTGCAATCAAAACAATCGTTTTCTCTCCCTGAGCCCTCCAGTTGTCATGGCAACCAAAAGCCAGCTACAAAGGAGAAAAGCTATACAGCAAGGCTAGATAGAAAATTTGAGCTATCCCCAGGTGACTTGCTGAGTTCACTTCACTTCTTTGATCTTGAATGCATGTAATAAATAAACTACAGGCTCTGTGGTTAGTTTAACGGCTTAGCACGCTCAGTTTAAAAACAGGAACTGGCTCAACCTGTTTGAGAGAAGCTTGTTGCCAACCTTTAAGCCTACTTGCTTGATTTCATTGCCTCAGACTTTTAAAAAGTCTTCGAGAAAAAACTTCAAACTGACTCACAAAGGGATTTCATGAACTGTGCTCCCTTCAGACAAATAATATTTTATTTCTTGATAATAAAGAATGCTGTAAAATAAAAACAGGCACAGACTTCTGTTCTTTACCCTGATTGAGATAAAACATAAAGGCAATTTCTCTGAGTATGGGCACATGGAGAAAGACGGGATTTACACCCAATCATTATTTTCTCTACTGCAACCATCCATGCACTCAAAAGCAAGACCTGAGAAGGAACTAACTGACTGCTTCATTAACTCCGCCTCCCAGCCCC